AAAAAAAAAAAAAGTAATTATTTTCCATGGTTGAGGTAATGCTTATTCTCTCTTAATAAGTACTTCATTTCTCATATTTTAAATTTCAAGTCTAATTTTTAAGGTTATGCAGTTGTGTATGATGTAATTAGACAGGTGCTTTTTTTTTTTGTTAAAATGTGCTTGAAAAGTGCTTATAGGTGCTTATTTTTTTAACTAAAATGTGGCTATGAACCCTGGTATTAGATTTATATATAGCATTGTTCGAATATTGGTATTTTGACACAAAATCAGACCTTTTATCAAATGACATGCCAATTTTTTTCCAAAATTTTAGCTCCTCAATGTTAATTGAATTTGATATATATTTATTAATATCTACTTTTTTATTAAATTTACTAGATTCCTTCTTCCAGAATTCCAAATTTAGGCTTAATCCAAATATAATTTGCACATTTTTTATGATTTATTTTTAAAATTTGTATTTTTAAATATTTTTTATACATTTTTGGGAAAAACGTTTTGAATTATAATGCATAAAATTTTTACCATTATTTTAAAGTTAATGTATTTCTAAGCACATTTGCAAAAAGTTAAGATTTTTTTTTTTTTTTTTTTTTTTTTTTTTTTTTTCAAAATTTCCTATGATATACGTGAATTTACATTTTGGGGCATTTTGAAATTTCGCGCATTTATTATAAGCAATAATAACGAAAATATGGTTTATGTACTTTGTTAAAAATTATTTGAAAGAATGAACAACAGACCTTTTTCTGCGCATCAATGAAAAAAAGAGAGTAAGTTAGTTACTATAAATTAAGAATTTCGCTAAGTGAATTATTCTTGGCGCAAGCTAAAAAAATACAAAATTTCTTACCAAAAATGACAAAATTTTATATCTAGGCATAATTTGAATCATAGAATCAAAATATGGAAAAAATTGGTATGTTATTTCAGAAAAAATCCGATTTTGTGTTAAAATACGTATGTTAGAATAACGCTATATACAGTCAAAAGTCTTTAATCCGGACTCGTCGGGACTTCGGCGATTCCGGATTATCGATTTTTCCGGATTATAGATCATCAGTTTAAATCTGGTAAGATGGCATGCAGAAATTATAAAATTAAAAATATGAAACCATAATTTATAAAATAATGAGCAATTATGATCTAAAGGGTATCAAAATTTACAAAAAAAGAAGCTTAATATTTATTTGTTTACTTTATTAAACATTTCTTTCAACGCGCGCATGCGTAAAGCATACCTTACACATAGCCGAAATTAGAAAATTGCAACCAGAAAACTATTTGATTTGTATTCGTGATATTTATAATGACGAGGAATTTGATTTAAATCATATCAAAGACGGAGTACATCAAGATTAAATACTACATTTAGTATGGAATTATAAATCGAATAAAATAAAAACATTTGCCCTGAAGATAACGATAGTGCTGACAGATCAACTTCCAGTTCATTGCGCTCCGCAAATCCCCCCCCTCCCCCCCCCCCCCCGTGCAGAGCAGCGTGAAATTGATAAACAGATTTCGGAACGGTTAGATAAACAAAGTATATGCCTTTATCCATTTTTTGTAGCAATTCGTTTTTTGTTTGATGGACATCGAAAGATACTTTCGTTTTCTAGATCCTTTGGGAGCTCTAGCATTGGAAATTCTATTTGACATAATCGAAAGTTCAAGCTTACTTTTATAAAATTGCTCTTACAGTCTGCAAAAAAATAATAAGCCGGATCCAATTCGAAGATTAAGGAACAACGCAGTCATCAACATTAACTGAAATAGATAATTCCATAATTTTAGCTTATAACGTCCATTATACATTAAACGCGCACGCGAAAACATATTCTGCGCTTGCGCAGATGCATATGCACAGTCGTAAAGGTCTTGTGCACATGCGTAAACGCCTATGCGCATGTGTCAACGCGGCGCATGCGTAAAAAGATTTTAGCTTTGAGGTCCGGATTATGGGTGTCCGAATTAACGACTTTTGACTGTATAAATCTAATATATATCCTAAGTTGAGAGTCCTAATATATGTCCTATTCCTTTCGAGACATGAAAACGCAATTTGAATTTCGTCAATCGGCCCAGTAGGAACAGGAGATATAGAACTGTCCCTCCCCCATCGGAATGTACCTTAATTATATACCTCTTATTAAGGAATACTGAAAATCAGTTTCAAAAGTAAGATAGAAATAGAGAAATAAATAAAAATACAAATACTCTTTGTTAGCAACCTTTTGAGGTCTCAAAGGCAAATTTGTGCACAGTGAAAGATAGTTTTGTGACAAGAGAACAATAAAATGAAAAAGTAATCCCTCTTTTTTTAAAACTGCTTTTTAATTGGGAAAAGGGGAACAAGGCATTTGGGAAAAGTAAACTGTGGTGCAATCAAAAGGATATTTCACATTCATAGAATTCAAAATTCAGTTACTCTTGCTACAGTTCTCAGTAGGAGGAAGAAAACAGTGTCTGCAAGTTGTAAAGTAATCCAAGGTAGGACCACAATGGGAAGGAAATACGGTGAAATGACTAAGCCACCTGCCAAGGAACAGAGATTTCAGAATGTCGTAGAGTGCAAACTTCTATTGTTCTTAGTTATTGCTAGGATTGAGGATCCAAAAAATGTACAGTTTTATACTTGTATGTTATTTTTACATATGTTATTTATTATGGCTTCAAAGGAAAAGATTAACATTAAAACAAAAAGTTGATTTAATTCGTGTAGCAGAAACTGAAGCTTAGTTTTAGAGATTTAGCACAGTTTGAATGTAGTTTGAAGAATTTAGTTTGGAGAACGTAAAAACCAAATAAGTCATGTGCTAAGTAAAGAAGAAATAAAGTTACTGTGGATTGCTAATTCAAAGGAACATTCCAAGACTGTAAAATTTAGAAAAAATACATGTGAAATTGATACATTAGTGTTCAACTAGTTTTGTTTTGTAAGAGCAAACAATGTTCCTTAAGTGGAGTATTATTGCAAGAAAAGGCAAAAGAAGTTGCAGAAGGTCTAGGGCTGTAGAAGTTCAAAACATCAAATGTTTGGTTAGGCAAATTTAAACAAAGACATAACATTATTTTTAAGACTATTTGTTGTAAAGAAAATTCAGTAGATGTGCACCATGTAACAGACTGGATAAAAAAGCTAAATGAAATTTGTGAAGCATGTGAGACTAAAAACATCTACGATGCAGATGAAACTGGATTATTTTATCAGATTTTGATGAATGAAACTCTATACTTCAGAGGAGAAAAGTGCTGTGGTGGTAAATGCTCCAAGGAAAATCTCACTGTGTTACTTTGTTGTAACATGGAAGGAGAGTTTGAGGAACTACTTATAATTGGAAAATACAAAATTCCAAGACTTTCGAACACATATCAGTCCAAAATCTTTATCGATTCATTGGCATCACAATAAAAAATCATGGATGATGCAAAGCATAATGTTAGAATGATATATTGCTCTTGATAAAGCACTGTCTGGAAAAATAAGAATTTTTTTTTTTTTTTTTTTTTTTTTTTTTTTTTTTTTTTTTTTTTTTTTTAAATACAATTCATCAATTTACCCACCAAATGTAAAACTGAAATCAGTGAAATTAATATTTTCCCCACCTAATGCAATATCAGTATTACAGCCTTTAAACCAAGGTGTAATTGGAAACTTCAAGTTCTATTACAGAAAACTATTCTTATTGCATGTTCTTTGTCAAGCTGCTAATGGAAGCAATGATCAGCTTGCAAAATGTATCAATGTATTGAATGCCATTCAGTGGATAACAAAAGCTGTTAAATCCGTATCACAAAGTTGTGTTCAGTGCTGTTTTAAGAAAGCAGTCTTTGGAATTTTGAGTGCTCTCAGTGAAAATATTGCTGATAAAAATGAATTATTTGAACTTGTCAAAATCAATGGCACTGCTCAAATGCAAGAGTATTTAGAAATCAGTGAACACTTGTGTACTGAAGACTCCAGTAACAACATAAAATCTTTCATTTCAGCTTAGTTGATGATATGACCCTTAATAAAAATATTTTGGAAAGCAGTGATGAAGACCAAGAAAAGCCAGGTGGAAAATGTGATATAAAAAACTATACATATGCCTGAAAATACACCTCCCAATTAAAACAATTTGTCATTACTATTAGTGACGATGAAGAATTTAAAATCATCCACTTCAATATCCACATGGGAAAAAAAAAAAAAAAGGTACTTGCAATTCACACACTTTCAAACAAACACATGTAATGCATTGTTTAAAAAAAAATTATGCAAGTTCAAAACTCTTTTCATTTCATTCATTTTGCAATATTTAAAATTTTTTTAATTAAGAATTTTTATCTTTTATTAATTTCAAATTCAAATAAATACCTGTGACTGTGTTACTTATTTATATATCATTTATTTAAAACTTGATACAGCCTGAATTTCTAATTAAATGACATATTTTTATTATGTACCCTGTGAAGAAGGGACTTCTGCATTTAAGGGACAAAATATCTGGTCCAGTGAGTGTCCCTTATAAGGAGGTACTACTATATATATTTTATTGTATGAATGTGATAAAAATATTTTAATAGCCTGCATCTCATATATTCAAAGAAGAATGATTGTAGCTGTAAATTATTACATATTAAAAATGGTATATGAATTCAAAATCAGGTTAAAATTATGGTTTTTTGAATAGATACCTGTATTTAGTCAACTAAAGTAACTTCAGAAAAACCTATGTTTGTAAAGACGTGTGTTTTCATTGCATAAAACTTTCCTAGTGATTCAAAAAAATTAATAAATAAATGTGGAGTTATTTAAACATTGTATTATTTAATGTATTTTGGATTAGTAAAATTCAAAAACTTTTTATCAAATTTTCAAAGCCAAAATATTTTTATTTATTAATAAATAAAATATTAATTTTATGTAAAAACATGCAAGATATAATACTTGTTTTCTGAATGTGTGTATATAATGAATATCATTAATTTTTGTGTTATTTTCTGTGTAGCTAAGAAGAAGAAAAAGAAAAAGCGTCCAACATCTCAAGTGGTTTCATTTGATGATGATGATTTATATAATGGTGTATCACGGTAAGATTATTATTGTTTAGAAACTTATACGAACACAAGCTTTATAAAATTAGAGTAAATTATTATAAAAACTAGATTGACATTTTTAATGCATTCCTTCTGCTACCAGTTTTAAACATATCAATACAAGATTTTTGGATATATTTAGTATAAACAATTTAGCTATATTTCTTATATTTGATACATTTATTTTAGTATGGCAGTTAACTATAATAACAATTCTTAATTCCAGTCATTAATTTCATTCAATAAGAAATATTTCAAAGTTCAACTGAAATTAATCTGCTATTTCTTAAATTTTTGGTTTCAGTTTATCAATTCCCCCCTCATACTTATAAAATTGTTATGGATTAGTAAAGATTTTTATTTTGATTTACTTGTGATTAACTTAATATAGCTGGGAGAAAATGAATATATTTTATGTAGTTTAATATGAGTGGATTTTTACATTTTCAAACTTATAATCTTTATGTAATATACATGCCAAAATTTCTTTCCTGTTTCTCTAGAACTCTTGATATTCCTGAGTCATGCAGTGCACCTGCAACATGTTTATCCTCACCTGTGCAGCTTGTGGGAAACTTCCATGCATTTTCCTCAGCATCTTCCAGTAATCTGAAATTTAGTGGAGAAAGAAGCTGTGATCGGGATGATACTAAACCTGTAGTGCAGTCATCAGCTGCAGAAGACTGTATCAAATTAAATACTCGGAAAGAATCAGAATATTCAGTAAAAAGTATTGTAAATGCTGCAACTAGTCCTTTAGCTATTAGTTATGGTTCTGTAGATTTGAAAGACTGCAATAACATTTCTGAGAAAAAAATAGATTCTTCTCAAACATTGTGTGCTCTTTCTGATGTTTCTGAGCCAGGGTAATTATTTGAATGCCATTCATTTAATATTATGCCATTTTATTTTTGATATAAATAGATTCTAATTCTGTATCTACAAAATTAAAATTATTGATAAATTGATAAGTTTATTCAGTTTATAAATTAATAATGGATGTTTTATGGATATATAATATCAATTAATAATGGAATGGATAATATCAATCAAAGCCATGCCTAAATATATTTTCATGAAGCAAAGGAGTAAATGAGTGCCTCGTATATGTACAATGCAAGGTATCTGGCTACTTTGATGGAAAATGGAGGAGCAAAACAATATCTCTGTTTGATAAAGCAAAATTAGTAATATTGATGGTATAGTATGTTTGTCCATATTGAAAAGCAAATTTTGACGGTCGAGGCAAGTTAAACATTCATCTTTATTTCAATAAACATTTGCAGCCACAATTAACTTGGCCCTTTAATTAATTTAAGAACATTTTCATTTTTGATATTATTGTGATGGGAAGAGAGTAGTGAGGCAGTGTTGTAGAAAGTCACCAAAAATTTAATTTTGTAATTTTTTATGTGAAATTTAAAAATTTAGCTTGGCGCAATTTTTTTTTTTTTTTTTTTTTTTTTTTTTTTTTTTTTTTTTTGTGCCAAGGCGAACTTGGCAAAATTCTTAATTTATAGTAACCTACTTACTTTCCTTTTATTAATTAATGCACGGGCGGAAAAAGGTCCATCATTCATTCTTTAAAATAATTTTTAACACGGTGCATAAACCACATTTTCATTATTATCGCTTATAATAACACCTATATATTAGGAAATTTTAAATAAAATACTGTAATGTTTTGCAGGTATGCTTAGAAATACATCTACTTTAAGATAATGGTAAAATTTTATAGGTTATTATTCAAAATGTTCTTCAAAAAATTTTTAAAAATTATTTAAAAATAAATCATAAAAAAATGGGTGAATTTTATTTGGAATGAACCTAAATTTCGAGCTGCTAAAGAAGGGATCAAGTAAGTGTATTTTAAAAAAAAAAAGAGAGATATTAATGTGTACATACCAAATTGAATTAACATTGAGGAGCTAATTTTTTAAAAGCTACCCATATGGTTTTTACAAAATTTGGCAGTTTGGCATAATTTGGGTCGTAGAATCGAAATATGAAAAAAATTGGCGTGTCATTTCAGAAAAATCAGATTTTATGTCAAAGTACCTATATTAGAACAATTTTATATATAACTCTAATACATATCCTAAGTCGCGCTTTCAAGACACGAAAAAACGCAACTTGAATTTCGTCAATCAGTCCAGTAGAACAGGAGATATAGAACTGTCCCCCCTTTTTTTTTGCGTAGTGTCTGAAGGTCTGGTTCTGATAACAGAAGAGTATTTTATTTTTTATTTACAATTAAGGAAATAGAAACTAACCCTTATCTGAATATGTGGGAAAACAGAGTTCTATTTTATAACAGTTCTCAATCATTTAATTTTTTTTAATAAACTAGAGAATTGATGTGCATAGCAACCCCCCTTTCATTTTATTTAATTTCAAAAGATTTAATCAAATGTATTTACTTTTAATTTGCCAAATTAAAATAACTATGATGCATTAAAATGGTGTTCTCTCTTTTTTTAAAATTGTTTCTAGCTATTAAATGATTCAGAGAAGTATTTTATACCATGCATAAATGTATCTTTTATATGATGCTTTGAATCATTTGTGCTTGGCTTAATTTTAGCAAGCGTATAGCATCGAACTTAAAGCTGCATTTTTAGAACAACTGTTAACTGTATTTGCCTATTTTATTGTCTGTTTAATTATAATTAATTTTACAGTTTACCAGAACAAACCACTTTGACACCAATTGGTGATTCTAATGTTGGAGAATTAATACCAATTGTTCAAAATGATGATACAGTTGCATCAGGTAAATGATTACTGTGTCTTCCTTTAATTTTGTGCATAATTTGTTTAAAATGTATGCTTTATTAAAATTTTGTGCATGATTTGATTGAAATGTATTCTTTATTAAAATAACTTCTTTTGTAAGGATTTTAAATTTACTATAAATTTTCATTTAAATTAAAATCTTATTTTGTAGAGTTAAATTAAACTTGCATATAATCTATTAAGTTTATTTGACTCTGATCGTAATCATATAAGAAGTAAGTAAGCAAATATGTCCTTTGGTGTGAAGGCTATATAAATAAGCAAAATGTATCGTATCCATAAAACATTCATACTTTGGTAAAACACAGTACAGCTGTATACGTTTGCTGTACGAAATCAAAATTTATATGTTCTTGAAAGTAAACCCGCTATTTTATTTGAAAACAATTGAAATTTTCCAAATTCAGCTATTCACAGGTAGAATTTTCTTTATTTAAATATTTACGCAGGTAGAATTTTCTGTATTTAAGTTGAATTTTTTGTTTGTTTTCATGATAGATCTCTAATAAAATAGTATTATTAATCATTGCAATCCTTTTCTTTGTGTATTAAAATTTCTTTATTCAACATTTAGCACATACTAAAATTATGCAAAACAGCAGCCTTATTTTGGTATAGATTTTAATTAAAACTGTATTGATTTTGAGGGCAATCAAATTCAGGTTAATCTTCTTCAGAATAAAAAAATTATGCAAAGAACGGTGCAATTTATGTAATACATAACATATACACACACGTAGATATTTTTAAGCAAGTACAGTCATTGCAAATTTTTTTTGCTCCTGAAAAAGAGGAACCTGTGTCTGATCACCTCAAAACTGACAAGAGTGTTATGCAAAATCTTAACCAAAATAAGGTTGCTTGTTTTGCCTGATTATATGTTTTACATTGGCATATTTCTCTTCAATTTCTTTATCAGATAGTTTAATATATACTGAAAATAAATCTAAGAGGTAGCGTTCTCTTTACTCGGAATCCTCGTTTCTTTTGAATGCCTTAAAAAGCATTCAAAAGAAATGAGTGTTCTGTCTGTTTTTTACTTCTTTGTATGAAGTAAAAAGGAAGTATTGTAATCGCAAAAAGTTTCAGGCAGCATATTTCGACAAAAATATCCATTTTGACCGCTATCGAATGCAATTTAACAATGTTTTTGCATGATATCTGTACGTAAGGACAGAATAAAATACTCTTTTCTTTCAAAAAAATTATAAAACTGCTTTAAAATGAATTCTGAAGAGAATTTTTTGTGTCGTCTGTCGCATAACTCAAAAACGAGTAGCCTCAGAACGTTGAAATTTTGTATATAGGACTGCTATAACATGTAGATGTGCACCTCCGGCCGCACCAAAGGTATGTATTAAATATATTTATATATATATCCACTCTGTTACCTGGTTCAGTGATCTCAGTTTCTTTACTGTTATATGTTTGTAAATTGTATATTTTTTTATTTAAAAATGATTGAATTATGTTGTTCTTATCTTCCGGTTAAGGTTTTTATGCCTTTAGTAAATCTCTACGCAATATTTTTAGAATTATCGACAATTTTAAAATTGTTTAAGTGCCGCTAAGACTAATAATTTTCTTGATGGCAGCCATTGCTCTTGTTTACATTTGAAACAGCACGATAGCAGATTTGTTGCCAATCTAGAGAAACTTAGCTTCGCAATAACAAAGATAACGCCTTCATTTATTATTGCGAATTAAATCATGCTTAATCCTTTCTGGAATTTTTTCGAGGAAATAAGTGTTTAAGATTTACTTCATAATTTTTAATACAGATATTTTGAGTTTTTATGTATTTTTGCCTTGTCGCGAAGTGAGAACTGAATTCATTGAATGAGAAATACTGAATCATCTGTGAAAAACTGTTTCTTTTTTGTTTTGTTTGCTTAATTTCTTTTATACATCGTTCTAGCTTTATTAAAGTATTTGAATAGAACATATGGCAACGATTAGATAATTCTTTAAATGATATAAATTTTGTGCATTCTGAGTTATAATATGAACAAAATATAATACTGTTAAGTGAACCTAGTGCCAGAATGTCGCTATGATAAACAAATAGAATGAATTTTAAAGAATGCTTTTATTCTACTGTGGTTTATGCGCTGTCGGTGAAGTAGATTTAATTCAATCCAATACGTTTAAACGAAATGCAAGAAAAAATCCGTATAATTTAATATTCCGTACAAGGAAGTCATGTGGTGTACACATCAGATTTTTTTATCAGCTTAACTGGTGATATATGAAATATCCTGTACGTGGAACCACTGTAAATCAAAAATTTTAGAAGGGACTGTCAAACCACCTAATATCAAAAATGAAAACAGTCATTTACCTCCTAAAAAATTTATACTTTACTGAAAATTTATGGTAGTAATTTAAATATTATGTTAAAATGAATATTGAAAACTATATGAAGAATCTGCTCATTTAGTTTATATATGGATTTTCATGTGAAATGAAAGATCAAACAGTGTTTTAGAACTGTGATAACTGTTTGATTTCATTTCACATGCAGTAGCAATTTTTTTTCCACTTATTTGGCTTTTATACTATGAATTACACTTTTTTATACACTCAACTATCTGAAATACTCACATTTCTGGCATTCATCATTTTGTGTACTTTCTGAATAGTGAAGCTTTTACTATTTGTCATGTCGATTTTAAGGCAATCGAAATATCCTGCAGAATGGATCTAAATTTCCATTTTCTTTCACAATTAAAATGCTTTTTGTCAGTCATTACAATCATGCTTAATCATGTTGTTTTTTGGGGGGGGAGGAAAGGAAGAGGTAGAAGCAAAAATTATCTTCAAATTTCTTTTGTAAGTTGGTAAAAGTTCTGATATAGGTCTTTTCTAAAACAAATTGCATAAAGTTAATTTATATAAAGCAACTTGTATGAAATGTAACTACTCAAGCAGCTAGGAAGGCAGCCAACTTATCGCCCTGCCCTTATCTTTCAGTAAATTAACACTAAGCTTGGAAGAAGTTTTAAGTAAACCTTTTTATTAGTTCTTTATAAATTTGTTTGACTAAAGAATTTGAATTTGAAGACTTGTATTATAACAGAAGACCTCTGCTACTGGATTACACTTGTGATATTAACAGAATATAGCAACAGAGGTAAAATCTTAACATACAACTTAATGTAATATTCTTCTCAGGCTCTCAAATTATGTGAGCAAACATGACTAGCAAATACTAAAGCCGATTCAGTAGCTCTTGGACAGTTCGGCATTTACTACAGAGGTATCTGCTAATTTCATGAACCTTTTCTTATACACATTAACTAAATGGCATCCTGATGGGAGCTGAAGAAAGTAGAATTGGCAGCATATGCAAAATAATACCAGAATTGAATTAATAAGCATAAAACTATACTGTTGCTCTCACCAGAATTTTAATAATTTGAAAATAAAAGTCTTAATGTCATTGGTAGAGAATTTTACAGTTTTAAAATTCAGATTGAACCAAAACTTTTACAGTGCTTCTACCTTTTAGAGTTGTCTTTTCTATTATCATCTAGCCCAATGGTTTCCATTCCTATAGACCTTAGGTATTCTTTTGACCACTAAGGAGATCTATGGCAAATTAAAACCAATTTTGTATGAACAATGTCTGGAAGCACCTGGAATGGTTTAATATAAAATAAAATAATTGTGACCCATTTTCATTATTATGAAAATTAAAATAAATAGCAGTAAATAAACTGGAAGTAGTCTTTACATCCTGAGTAAAATAAAACAGTGTCCTTTTTTTACCAATAAAAGTTTGAGTGAGCCAAAGAAAAAAGGCAAACAATATAGTGTTGAATTTTAAAAATATGGCTTTATTCCATTATCAAGATGTAATACTTTACCTGTGTGCCTGCTGTACAATAAAATTTTGTCAAATGAATCAATGAAGCTTAAAGAACATTTTATGAAAGCCCATAGCGAAAAAAAAAAAATACATATTTAACTTTCTTGTAAAACAGTCAAAGAAAAATATTTGAATATACCATCCTTGCAATAACATCTGAGTAAGTTGACAATGGGGATGAAATGACATTTATTTACTGATTGCAAAGTCGGAAAGCAGCACACTGTTGGTAATATGCAACACATTTAAAACAACTTTTGACATTATAGGAAGATTTCTTTTATGACTTGGAAGTCTTTCTTTTATGAAATTAAATAATTGAAATAAGTAAGGAAACTAAATGTCATCCAAAACAGTATAATTAATTCTGGTTTAGTTTTCTCATAGTGGTTCTGAAATATCCTGCCTCTTAAAACTAGTACATTTATTTATTCAGTATTTAAATTCCCTGAATTTTATTGGATGACTGTTTTATTAGTAAATGGTATTAAAGTAAGCATAAGAGATGTAGAAGAAAATCAAACAAATATTCTAATGTAAATGAAAAATGCAAAATTTCATATTTACAACATTTTAATCATTTACTCTGGCTAGATTGTAAGGTTTATCCTAAGTTTTTAACAGTTATTTCAAGTTAAAGCTACTTTCCTGTCTATCCTAATTTCAGCTTACAATTTCCTACCAGAATGTGTTTTTAGAATCACATTTAATGCAAATGAATAAGAATAGTATTCAAGTCGAAGTTCCACTTGACTTTGAAAGAGAGCCTCAGAGTTTCTGACTAATGTGCATTTGCCTTTTGGCTACGTCTCTCTAAGCTGTTACTATGCAAATATAGAAAAAAGTATTTTTATTACTTGGTTTTCTTTCTGGTAAATATGGAATCGTCTTAAAATATTCAGACTTCTTTAGGTTTACTGATAACAATAGTTGTGTTGGTATCTGTATTATTCATCCATGTGAATATCAGGAAAAGGTCCAAACACTTCCCCCCTTTTTTTTTAATATTTCTCATTTTTAAATGTCAGTTTGTTTGGCATCATTTGGAAATATAGACTGGTCTCAGCAACAATATAAATCTATTTGATGTAATATTATTGCATACA